AAATCACCAGAGAACACAGGCAAATATTTATGGGGACTAAGTGTGGAGTTAGGAAGCATAGTGGCCAAGAATCATGGCTCAGATGTTGATAAGGGATCACATTCCAGATTGTTGACATTTACATATAGCTCATGACATACAGCAGGATCCCACCAAACTGTAGTCAATGGAGCCTCCCTAAAACAACAGGCCCAATCTGCTCATCCCAGGGAAAAATTCCCTCCACCTGCCATGTGGAAGGAGTAGGACTAACATCCCCACTCTGTTGTGTCTAATAGAAACTGGAGATCTTGACTTACAGTGTACTGCTCTTTTGGAGTTTTTATTTATTTATCTATTTATATCCTATCTGGAGGGTGCAATTTGGCTTTACATAAGTAAATCTGTCTTAACCCTCATTATCATTGCAGCAGTACTCCCTGTGCTCAGCTGCCTCTTGTCTCTCTTTGTTTTGACAAACTCTTGTTATCTTCACAAATTTATGGATTAACCTGTAGTATCAAAAATTTCTGAGTTAGCTTGACAAAACAAACAAAACCATTAGAAGACAGTTTTTTCGTAAATGTTATCTAGACTAATATAATATTTTTAAGGTAGTCTTGTTATAAGCTTAGAGAATTAAGTTTTAGTTTAACATCAGTACATTAAATTTTGACCTTATAAAACCTTTAATGTAACTGGATTTTAGTTGACTTAATCAGTTATATAACATCTATAAGCTGTATCATTGCGACAATTTATTTTGTATCCTCTGGGGAGCTGGTCTTTATCCTCCTCTTTATCTAAAAGTATTTTTTTAACCCTTTTTTTTGGAAAAACCATACCCTTAATACCTTTTATATATTTTTGTTACTTGTTGAAAATAACTCATAAAATCTTTTAACTTAGAGCTTTACATTTGCATGAAAAAACAATAAAGAAAGCAATCCAGAAATTATTTTTTGTATAAAAGCAATTCATAGAAAGTTCATTTGTTAATAGACCCATATATTGTAAGACAGAATTAAATCCCAGATTTTATTTATGACAGAATGAAGCAGGCTAAGATCATTTTCACTACCTAAATTTTAAGATTTTTGTTGTAGACTGTAGCCCCTTTTTTTTCCTTCCAGGCTAAGCCAGAGTGTTAACCCCTAAATGTCTGCATCCTAGTGAGACCTTATTGAAATAAGTTTGAAAACCTGTTTTTTTTGTTGTTGTTTAAGGTAGCAGTAGAACAGAGTAATAACTTTTACATTTACTTTATAACAAGAATTGTCCTCAAGATGTTTACATATTTAAATGTAAAAGCCTAAGCAGTTTATAACAGAGATCTTTAAACAATTACCCTGTGTTTTGTTACCTTGAGTATCATATTAACCTTATAGTAGCAATTTAAGAACCATTTTGAAGATGTTTACATACACACAAAAAACATTTTATAAATTAAGCATGCCAGAAAAAATGTCTACTTAAGCACTCATAGAATGAGCTGGAATTCCAGGAGCAGATTAAATTTTGCCATGCTTTAAACAAATTTACACATGCACACATTCACACTGAAGTTATAACAGTCCCCCCCCCGGGGAGAAGTCCCTGACCTGTGCAACTCCTCTAGGAGGTTCCTGGGAGTGGATCAAGCTCCCCTTCCGCCCAGTGGGACAGGACCTGACTTAGAACTGATTTCCTGGGGATGGTGCTGACTGAGTCCGGACGAGACGGCCAGATGAGTTGGTCCACTTCTCCTTGGAGTCCAAGGTCAAGACTGCTCAGAGAGTTGGGGCACCGGGGCAAGGGAGGACCCGGAATACCATGGGGTGAAACACCACCTTGTTCAGTCCCATGTCCTCCCTACTCCGATGCAGCCCAGCTTCCATCCAGTGGCTCAAATGCCTGTTGGTTGGAATCTCACTGGGGCCTCCAAGATGTTGTGGAGGAATGGTCAGACAAGAAACCAAGTGACACTCGGAGGAGTGGAGAACTGAGATTTTAATTTTACGCTAGCAGGCCCAGACTTGTACCTGTGTCTGAGCACTGAACAAAGGATTCACAGGATATTTAAAAGGCAGTGCAGGGCATCAGGTTACAAGGAATGTGCTCTCCCATAAATTAAGGGCTAGTAGTGGGTTAGAGACCTAAGGTTTAGATGAGAACAGCAGGGGAGGCCTGCTTTGGAAAGTTCATTTACAAGTGGAGACAAAGGAAAGCGGGAATGGTGTTTATCTCTGCATGGTGCCCTTCACCTGGATCCTGAACTTTTGCATGGCTCTAATGGCAAATTCCTCATGTTTTACAGCTCTGTCTGAGGTTACAGCTTTTAATTGACAGCTTACCATGTTTTACGACCCTGTTTCAAGGCTATCTTCATCTTCAGTATGTCTTAGAGAGTTGCTGAACAACAAGAGAATTGGGAAACAGCTCCATTCAAATACACTAGTGGATTATTTGTTTTCTACACTGAGATTTGAGAGTTCTTTATTTAGCCTAGTTGTAGAGCTTCTGACGTATATGTGATTTACAAACATTTTCTGTCTGTAGGCCACCTTTTGTCCTCCTCACAGAGCCTTTTACAGTGCTGAAGGTTTTGTTTTGATAATCCAATTTACATTTTATTCTTTGATAGGTTATACTTTGGTTGTCTCTTCCAGAAATTTGATGACTAGCTCTTAGTCCTAAAGATTTTCTCCACAACAAATATAAGACAAGAGTCTTAAGACCTCAGACCCTCAGAGAATGAAAATTTTTGTCACTCTACTAGGCAAATAATAACTCCAAACTACTGATGTCATTGCTGGCCTATGAAATAAAACTAGAAAGTAAAGGAAGGGAGAAGTCTAAGTCAGTTGCAAATTTATGATTAAATCTGTGGTCTAGGAATGCAGTAGCTTCCTCTATTTTCTCTTTGTATGTATGTGTTGCTTTACTTATTCTTCTCTCTCACCACCATAATTATAACAATTACTCTTATTTTTGGTGATACTCAAGTTTGAACTGAGGGCCTCACATTTGCTAGGAAGGACACACTACCACTTGAGGCACTTCACCAGCCCTGTTTTGTGTTTGGTATTTTCAAGATAGGTCCTCATGGACATTTTGCCCATTTTTTCAAACCATGATCCTCCTGATCTCTGCCTCCTGAGTAGCTAGGATTACAGGTGTGAGCCACTGGTGCCCAGCTTTCACCAAAATTACTTTTCTACAAATAACCAAAGACTAGCTTTATGGTTTAGTCTGTAGAACAGCATATTCATTGGACGGCCTCTGCATTTTAGACATGACTAGTATATCCAGAGATTCACACAGGGAAGATTGGGGCTGCAGATTTCCTTATTTTGGAAAAAGAATGACAGCTTTTTCACTTGTAAAAAGGGCATCTTTATCTTACTAAGTGGAATGTTTGCACATTTGGATGTGCAAATGAGTGTAAGGAAGTACATATGAAATGTCAATAGCCAGAGGGATGGGGTGTACCAATTATCAGTTTTTGACTTCTATGTCACTCCCTATCTGTGACATAGAATCTGGACCTTGTAAACATTTCTCCTTTGCCATCTGGCACCATATGAAGCTCTGTCAATAGGTGAGACAGGAAGGACCTTCTGAAGAAGAGTTTTTATCTGGGTGCTGGTGTGTTCTTACATTTCTTGTCCTTCATGCTTGGTTCACATGGCCCACCTGGAGATATGCCCCTCCTGCAGGTGCAGGGACATCCCACAGGTAGTTTCTTGGACTTTTTCATTAGCACTCAAGCAAGTACAGCAGTTCTTTCTCAGTTTCCTGTAAATTGTGTTTTCCTATTTGGCAGACTTCCTCAGCAAACTTCTTCACCATGCAGTAGTCTACAGCTCCATATATCCTATGAGGTCTGAATCATAATCTTGGCAGGGGGTCCAGGGTATGTTTATTCCAATGTGTTCCTTCCTTGTGACTCTGCCTAGTTCCTGGAGATGACGGGTGTTCCTATGTGTGCTATTTCTATATCCTTTAGAGCCATTTTATCCACTAGTAGCTGTGATGGTTAATCTTGATTTTAACTTATTGAACTGAAAAATACCTAGGAGATTATAGAGCAAACCTCTGGATGTGACAGGCAGGGAAAGATCTCCACTATAGCTGGGGGCCTGGATGGTACAGAAGGGGAAAAGAGAGAAGCCAGCAGTTCAGGCAGTCTCTCTCTCTCTGTCTCTGCTTTCTGGCTGCCATGGTGTTAACTGAAACTGTGAGCCAAAATAAGTAATTCTTCCCTTTAGGATGTTCTCTCAGGGATTTTAGTTTCAGTGATGTAAAAGTAGCTGACACAGCAACCAATCCCCTATTTTGTTATCTAATAATTGTCATATTATACTGTCTTGTGTTTCTCCCCTACCCAACCCTGACCGGACACTGACTGAAGTAGGAGGAGTCTGTGAAGTGCATGAGAGGAAAGGCAGTAGATGCAGAGATCAGCACCACAAGCCTGAGTCAGCACAGGCTGGCATGGAACTGTGCTGGGGATGTGCAGAGGAGCACAGGTGGGGGGTGGGGCAGTCAGAGAGGTGGGGCGGCCTCACCACTTAGCCCTGAACAGCCCCTCTGGCTTAGAAAGTGCCTTTTTACACTCTGCTATACTGTTGTTGTTTTTTTTCTGCAGAACTGGGACTTGAATTTTGAGCCACTCCACCAGACCCCCCCCTTTTATGATGGGTTTTTTTGAGATAGAATTTCTGGTTATAAATTATTTGCCTAGGCTGGCCTCCAACCATGATCCTCCTGATCTCTGCCTCCTGAGTAGCTGGGATTGCAGGAGTGAGCCACCAGTGCCTGGATGCTATATAGTTTTTATTTTAAAAGTCCCCTTCTGGGTACTTTTGTAATAAAATAAATTCATCTATTTTAAAACTAAATTAAGCAGAGTAGGTAATGAGAACATTTGTGGACAAATTATTGAGGTCAATCTGAAGCTGACCACTGATGACATTTGTGTCTGAGAGGTAGACTGGATGCCAGTCTCTAGAGGAAGGTGCCACTGTGGCAGGAAGTACTTGGCATAACTCTGAAGGGTTTGCGCTCTGCTTCCCTTGCAAGAGCGGTCACTGTGCCACTCAGAGCACAGAAGTACACAGCTGCATCCTCCTCCTGAGCCCAGGGCTTCTGCAAGTGGAAGGATGCTTTGGCCTTGTTGAGGTGGCCCGGAAGCCTTTGGCGCTGTCTCCTGAGGTGTGTTTCAGGAGGAGCTGGAGGCCTTGTTGGGGGTACTGGACATACCAGAAGAGCACAGGACTCCCAGAATAGGAGTAGTTGCACTTCACCTGCACGGGGGCCCCTTCAAAGACAGAGATGTGGTCCTCTGGCTGCGTCACTTTTTGGGCTCCTTTTCCTTCTGAAATATCAATTCTGAATCATGAAAAACCCTAGAGATTGTGGAGAACAAACTGCTCCTATGTTACAGCATACAGAAAAGCTGAATGAAAAGAGTCTTTACTCACTGAGTGTGAACATTACCAGGAGCACCGGGATGAGGGTGGACATCATTTCCCAGCTATGAAATGCAGGAGAATCTGGAAACAATTCAGCCACACAGGGTCTCACAACTGGGCTGTGAGTTTAACTCACCTCTGCAGCCAGAGGCTCTTCTCAGATGGCTTGCTCCCAAGTTTAAGTTGCACAGCATCTCCCCCTAGAGGCCAAAGAGGACACTGCCGATAATGTCAGGTTTCAGTTTGTCTTCAATTTCTCAAATAGAAAGGGGGAGAGATTCCCTCCATATTGAGTAAGACAAAGTGTGATGTGTACAAATTGAAAAACAGAGCCACATATACAGCTCAATGGAACAGAATGGACAGTCCAAACACCAAAGCTTGTGGAAGATTAATTAACATGGACAAAATACAGTATATTTACAAAAGTATGCTATCCTGAATAACGAATCATTTAGAAATTAATCAATAAATTGGATGTCTACCTTAATAATTATTACAAAATAAATTCCAAGTGTATAAAATACTTACATTTTTAAAGAGAATATAATCAGAGATAACATATTTTTTAATTTAGGATTGTCATGGATTTTCTAATTATGATAGAGAGAATAAGGGAAAATATCAATGGATCACACTTCATAGAAATTTAAACTATTTTACAGGTACTTTAATGAAATATTGAAATACCATCAGGTCAATTTAGGTGTACAGTTTGGTTCACATTGTTATGTAACAAATAAGAATCTAGGACTTTACATCTGGCAACACTGAAACAAATGAGGCAAATATTACATTTAAAAATTCAATTAACTATGTCCTCCTTCTTTGTCCCTAATCTAACCATTATTTTTCTCTCCTTTCTCCTGTCTGAATATTTTCATTATTTTTCCATTTCTTCTCATCACCTCATTCTGGTTTTCCAGTCTCAGAAGGGGTATTAGAAGTGCTGTTCCCAAACAGTGATCAAAGAAACACGGGCAAATTGCTCAGCAAGGCAAAAAGAAAAGTTTTACTTCTGTGGAAGTGTGAAGCCATAGACAGTAGTCTGATAGAGAGAACATATGTGGGTGGAAGTCCACCCAGATTATATTCCTGATGCGCAATTCTCTGTCCCTTATGAGGATTGGCCCACTCTGCAGCTAGCTATTGTTTAGGGTAAGGTCAGGTTTTCAGAGGCAGTGACATTTTACAATTCAGTGAAAGAGTGATTACTCATGGTTTGTAACTCAGTAAGAAAGTGATTTCTCAAGGTCTCCTGTAGATAGGGAACAGGGGCTGACATTTTACTCATAGTTTACAGAAAAGACAGGTCAAGAAATTTGACATTAGGGTATCTGGAGGTAAACAGCTCTTTGACCACAAGAACTTTTCAGGATCTTCTTGCAGTGTCCAGCAGCATTTCACTAAGGAAGTAGGCCACAATTTGGGGAGGTTAACTGGCATCTATACAATGATAGTTAGACATTAACTCCTTTGACAAAAAAGATCTGATGTCAATTGATTCTCCTAGGGATATGAGAGAAGGTAGAAATCAAGGGAATACTTTTGAAGCCATGGTAGAGATTCATATTTTAAAATTTCTGTCACAGAAATCAAGGCTGCAAAAAGGTAATGTAGATGCCTTTTACTGGACTTTTTATCTTCACCTGGCTCTAGTTGATTCTTATTATAAATTCTGTTTGAACACCATCTATTTCACCCATCACAGCTGCAGGCCTTCTTTGCAGATGAATTTGTGGAAATTCTCTTTTCTAGCATATGACTCTTCTGGTGCTGTCTTAACTTTTGCTAGCTCTCAATCAAATTGTCTCTAAGAGTCAAGAAATAATCCAATATAATAAAGGCTCTATGTGAGAAGCACACAGCTAACTTTACACTGAAAGGTGAAAAGCTGAAAGCATTTCTTCTAAGATTAGGATAAGTCAAGAAAACTCAGTGTCAGCACACATCCAACATAGTGCTGTAATATCTCAGTGCAACTAGGGAAGAAAAAGAAATAAAAGACATGCAAATTCACAAGAAAGGAAAATTATGTCTGCTTGAAGATGACACAATCATATTTATTAACAAAACTCTTTAAAACTGTTAAAATTAATAAATAGGTTAGTAAGGTTACAGGATACAAAGTCAATATAAAAACTCCACTGCATTTTTATACACTAATAATGAATTCTCCCAAAAGGGAAATTAAGAAACCAATTCCACTTCCAATGTTCTAAAAAAATTAAAATAAGCTTGATGTGGTGGTGCATACCTTTAATCCCAGCACCTGGAAGGCTGCGGCAGGAAGATCATAAGTTCAAGTCCAGCCTGGGCCACTTAAGAATAAACTAAGCAGATGATAGTTACATGCTGAAATCTACAAATATTGCTGAAAGAAACTGAAGAAGAAACAGGGTGAAAAATCATCTCCAGCCCTGGGATGAGTAGCAGGAGCATGGCTGAGCCTGGGGATGCTGCAGGGCTGAGCAGGTGTGTGAGGTCTTGGCCACTGGGCCTCTGGGGCTAGCAGAGGACAGACTGGACCTCACAGGCCCTTGTCTTGGCAAGTTTCAAATACAGAAGGAAAGATGCTTTCCTTAGGAGCCTGGCTATATCTGAGGCAGGTTAGATAACTTAAACCATATAACTTAACTTTAAACCCATATAACTTAACTTTAAACCCATATAACTTAACCTAGGTCATTTCAAATTAGACGCTTTCTCTCACTCCCTCTGAGCCTCTTTCAATTACTAAATTTTAGCAGTAGCCAGGACTCCTTTTTTATTGCAAATCCTCTGCTAGCTGCAGAGCTAGACAGGAAAATATCTAAGGAAATTTCCATCCACTTGAAGTTAGGGTGCCTGAAAATTTGCATAAGTGTATGTAGGGTGATATTTCACCCTAGCCCAGGGAATGCCCACATCCCCTCCCTCACAGGTTATTGCTGCTCAGGGACCAACAAAATCTTTCCCCACCTTGGCAGGTTATTGATGGTATAAAAACACCTTAAAACAGAGATCCTGCCCTTGTCCTGTCCACTGTTTCTCCACCCCAGCTGGCGGAGACCACTCCTGTGATTCACTCCCCACCCCACACACCTATAATAAAGTTCACTATTTCCTTTATTACATCAAAGTGTCCTGCCTGGATTCTTCCATACTGGACACAAAAATCTAGGTGTCTTCTGATCAGAGTGTCCAGAGACTAGAACATATCTGGCCTCTTGTTTTCATCACAAGTCCCTATCTACAGACATTTGTGAGGCTGCACCAGTCACCTGTAAGGAGAAAGTGCAGAGAGGAAGAGCTCAGGGATAGAGATCCACAGTTGAAAATGATTCTCCCTGTGCAGCACTGCCCTCTAGAGGTCAGAGGTAGAGCCAAGGATCTAGAGAGCTGACTGTTCCTTCTCATTTCAGAGATTTGATATCAAAACTTTGACAGAATGAGTGCCTTCTTTTCCTAATTTTTGATGGTGTCACCTTCAGTGGTATATGGCATAGATCCTAAAATGCATGCAAAACTGGAGTTATATAAGAAGGGAAGAGAACAGAAATTTACTTCATTCAGAAATTAGGCACAGAAGACAATGAAGTTTGGAATTCCATTGAGATGTTTTATGATATTTGCAAAACCCTTCATTCCACAAAAGGGAAGAAGCCTCAGGCTGAGATGAGCTTCCTATAACTCTGTGCTGCTGAGGTAAGCTTCACAGTGGGGAAAGAGATTATTTCTTTATTTGTTGATAAAGGAAAAAAGTGGATTAGACAGGAGATTTATACAGAAAATCAGCCAAGATCACAAATCATTTATTAGTCAATTAGCTCTAACTAATAAAGGTTGTCATTTGTTATGCTGAAATAGTGAAGATTTGAGGTCAACAAGTTTGGTATTAATTAAGACTATGAAAAAAATCACTCGAGTACCCTATGTTTAAGAAGTGGTGAGAAAAAGTGGTACTCGAGTACCCTATGTTTAAGAAGTGGTGAGAAGTGAAAGTGAGAGTTCTGTTTCAATTGTCAGTGGCCAGAACAGACTGATACATTATGCCAAATCATCAGGCATTTCTCTAAAAGGAACACTAACAGGGGTTGACCTATGGAGAAACTGAAGGTGAGATAACAGTAGGAAAATATGACATAAAAAGTAAATCTGCATGAAGTGAGTGAAGCAGGAAGGAGCACACCAGCAGACCAGAAATGACAGGAACTTGTGGGAGGAGTAGAGGACACGGCAGAGGTTGATAGTCAACTGTCTCACTGGGTAGGAGTCATGGCCAAGGAAACAAGAGCAGGCTGCTTTATGGCCTAATAAAAAAAAATAAAACTTTTCCCATCTAACTGACTTTAACATAGAGACCATTGGAATCTAAAAGTGAAGTCCACACCCTAATAAGAAGAGAATTGCAGGTGAAACACCCATGTGTATCAGCCACAGACTACTTCTTCCTTGTGCTTCTGATCTATGTATTGGTCTTGTTTGTGGGATTTTTTTCCTATGTAAAGCCATAATGTATAGAGAGCTTGACTTTTTTAAAGTGTTACTGAGATAGAAAAATAGGGAAGCACAGTTTGGTCAAGAAGGAATGGAGACTGACCAGATAAAATGTCAAAAGATTCCCACCCAGGGCATGCCCCAAGTCCCATCTAGAACCTGTATCCTTCAGGAGACACTTGGTTGGGAACCTCCTCGAAAGCCCCTTTTGGTGGTCAAATTAACCACACTACCATATGATAAAGAAGTTTGTGCAGAAGGGAAAATCCTGGAGATAGTGTATGTGCTAAGGGCTGGAAAATGTGTCCTCAGATGACCTTCTGAGACATCCCTCTACTTAAAACTTAACACAGAGAGGAGATCTAAGATGGCAATTAGGGCACAGAAGCAGACAGTATGAGCTCTGAGACTCCAAAACTTCTCTGAGACATTGGAGCCACACTTGGCAGAAATAAAGCACCAAGAAGAATCAAAACTTTGACACCCTGAACCCCTAGCCCATAGAAAGCTTCTCCACACCACATTATACTGAGAAAACAGCAGGGCTGCTGCCCCACTAGATGCTGGCTTCAAACCTGCTTGGGAGACATTCGGCAGACCAACAGGTGAACA